GACTAATCCTCAACTGCACATTCCAATGTATTTCTTTCTCATTAACTTATCCTTCCTTGACATCTGCTATTCTTCTGTAACAGTTCCCAAAATGCTAGAGAATCTCCTAGCTACAAAAAAGACTATTTCTCTCTGTGGCTGCATAGCTCAGGTCTTTTTCTTTATTTTCATGGTTGGAACAGAGATCTTCTTACTTTCAGCAATGGCGTATGATCGTTATGCTGCCATATGCAACCCACTGAGATACAGGACCATTATCAGCCACCGCTTGTGCATCCAAATGGTGTTGGCTGCATGGATATCAGGTTTTCTGGACTCCTTGGTTAATACTCTTTTTTTAACTGACCTACATTTCTGTGGTCCCAGTGACATTAACCATTTCAGCTGTGAGTTACCTTTGCTATTGCAGCTGTCTTGCACTAGTACTTTTGCCAATGAAATGGTAATTCTTACCTTTAGCATGCCATTAGGGTTTGCTGCCCTTCTTCTAATTATAGCTTCCTATGTTCATATTGTTGGCTCCATTCTCAAGATAAATTCTGCAGAAGGCAGGCAGAAGGCATTCTCTACCTGTGCTTCCCACCTCACAGTGGTTCTCTTGTTTTGTGGGACTGCATTCATTAGATACATGAAACCTGCCTCTGGCTACTCAGACACCATGGACAAGCTTGTGTCAATCCAGTACAGTGTCCTAACCCCCATGTTGAACCCCATTATATACAGCTTGAAAAGCAAAGATGTGAAGATTGCCCTAAAGAAACTTTTTAGAAACTAACTTCAAAGAGACCTTGAAATTATTAAATTTTGAGATTATCTTGATGAGGAAAGAGAATGCATTAAGGCAGGAATAGCAAGAGTGGAGACCATAATCTAGCAGGCCTCATTAAATTACTGGTCACTTCATCTACAGTTTTACCCCTTCCCCTTAACTGTAGGGGATGGTGTTCAACCTATGTGGAAGCAAGCCATTCACTCCTAGGGCTGTCACCTCTTCACTTACTCTTTATGGACTTCAAGCAATAACAGCAGAGCCTAGTGTATATAGAATGCCAAATTCATTAAGACAATATGCTTTGAGTCTTCATGGCTGACAGTTTAAGATACATCATGACTCCAACTGAATATCTCATGCAGATGGATGTTCTGAGCCAGAGAAGGGCTTTCATTACAGCCTAACACAATGCTCTCCCTTTGGTGCTGCTGGAACATCAATTTGAAAATATACTGTGGCCATTATGAGTATAAGCCTGCAAGTTAGGACAAGTAGAAGCTAGTGAGCATGTCATCCTCTATTGTCAGTTTGATAGGATCTCTGCTGAGCCCTTATGACTCTGCTTCTGACTAATATTACACGATTTAATACTCAACAATATGTATAGTTTCTGACATCTGACAACAACCCTAAAACAATACATAACATACCCAGATTCTGTGCAGATGGATATAACATAAGGAACATAGTGACTAAAAGCACTTGAATTGGATTGATTATGTTCTGCTGAATATGGCCTACTCTTAGACCTTAGCTTAGCCAAAATGTCTTGCATGTAAATGAAGCTTTACCTTTAAATTTTATTTTACTTACAACAATTATTTTATATTTACCCTGTCATTTTAATCATGTTAGTTTCATCCTTAGGCTTATTCCTATATTTGCTTCGTGTGGGTGAATGAGTGCAATGAAGAAATATTTGTTTTGGGAAGGGAAAAAAAATAGAATAAAATCTTACTCTTGTAGTTTGGGCAGGGTAGTGGGGGACAGGAGAGAATTATGGCAGCAGAAATACTAAGCTTGGCCACTGTTTATTAAATATTTTGAGATGGTGGATGCCTTTCCTTGTATGGAATACAGATACTAAGTATGGTAAATGTTACATTTTTTAGAGAGGTAGCATCCATCTTCTCTCCACTTTTCTCAGCCTTTATAGAAAAAGTAAAATCTGAATTATACCATGAAAGGTGGTCATTTTCATAAAGTGAAGTTATGGGGTGCAAATTTCCTTATTTTGCTCTAGACAAAAATATATGTTAGAATACTTATACTATGCCTCAAGTTCTGCTTTTCTAAATACACCCAAATTTTGCATAAGGCTGAAGTGACTTTCCAAAGCAAATTGGGTTTCATTGCTCTCACTACATAGAGAAGTAGAAGAATATCAATATTTTATTGTGCTGGAATTGAGAATTTTGTGAAAGGGTTACCTTTTACATGAAAACATTACCAACTGTATAATAGTTGCGGACAATATTCTATTGATCTCTGAGGATGCTGTCTTGGACACACTGGTATTAACTTGGACAAAGAGTTGCCTAATCCCATAGTGAAAATCATCAGGAATACCTTCTAAAATCCTGACCAACATATGAGCTTCAACATACCTTCCTGTATGGAAGGTAAAACTAATCGCACACATATTGCACTAGTTGCACTTCAACTGGATTAAATAGTACTCCTTAAAATAAATCCTTGATGAGGATTCAAAAAATTCAGCTCATATAGAATATGGCTGTTCAAGTTTTAATTGGAGATGGATAGTTGGATCATATTAGTATAATGAATGAGTACTAAATTGGTTGTTACTACAATGCAAGTCTAATTCCAGCAGGTAATTTTGAACTTTAAAATCTGTCATGCCTGCTCAGATGAGTACATGAATCTTCTGATAAGTAGAAGTAGTCCAAGTAGGGCTGAGGCACTCTAAAAATAGTAGCTGGGTGACATTCTGCAGATGAAATGTTTCTGTTTCACTGTCTTTATCACCAGAGAACAGGCTCAGATATGAGGTTGCATGTGAGACTGGTCATACTCCCCATTTTCTACCAGCTTCATTGTGTCAGGTTCGGTCAGCACGAGGCTTCAGGGAAGCACGGGGCTGCAGGGAAGCTCGCACCCGGACCCCGCGGAAGCCACCGGCGGTGGCTAGCGGGGAAAAGAGGAACCGAAAGCGCCGCTAATTAACGAGCCACCTGCGGCCAGCTAAA